GGACAGGGATCCTTATCCTTGGTTAATCTGGTACATTTGGAAGGCTAGGAATGATAAGTTATTTAGAGGCATTGATAGGGACCCATTGGAGGTGGCGCGCTACGCACAAAGTGAATGCCAAGCATGGTTCCAAGCAAATGAACAGGATATACCGTCCTCCCTTGAGAACGAAATAGATGAAGACCAGGCCTTAAGTTTGGGTAACATAGGCATGGTGGATGGATCTTGGACTTCTACGGACTTATTCAGTGGATGTGGATGGGTGTTGAACGATAATTCTGGCAATAGCCAGTTAATGGGGCTGCGTAATTTTGATCGAGTGGAATCAGCATTGCATTCAGAGTTGGAAGAACGGTGGTGGGAAATGGAGAACATGCTTCAACATTCGCCATGTCAGAGATTTGGGACTGATTGCAAGGAGATGATCGAGATGCTCAGAATTCCTCATGCATGGCCTAGCTTCTCAACGGAGCTGGAAAAATTGTTGACACTGAAGATTTGCTTTCCTGACTTCAAGATTTTTTTATGTCCCTAGATTACAGAACGGCGCTTCTGATTCTTTAGCTAAGATAGCTAGGTCTTTTTATCGTAAGCTTGTGTACGTTGGTTTTTCTATCCTGGTCTGGTTACCCAGATCACCTCAAGTCGTTCGAGTAATAAAGCAGCGGTTTAATGTAAAAAAAAAAAAAGATTATACTTTAATGAAATCGGACAATCCATATATTTGTCAATCATTTGTTTAAACTATATTATTTAGAAAAAAATTGGACATATGATGATCAAGACTTTTGCGACGTTTAAGTAACCACTATGTTAAGACCTGTCCATTGCGCGGAACGAAAATTATATATAATAAATTATTTTACATATTATTATAATTTATTTTGTTTGTTACATAATATATATATATTCAATAATTAATAAATCAATAACTATTATGTTTAAAATTAAATTAGCGCGATCACATAAAAAAAATCACACTTGTTGATTTACAATCACTTTATATAAATAAATCTAAAAAATAAATGTTATTAACATAAATATAGTATATATTTTAAGTTAGCTATCTATTAAATGAAATTTCATATTTATATGGTTTTATGATTATTTGTATATTTTTATAATAATTTTCTAAGCAATTGTTAACATAATTTTCAATGTGAGATGTTAAATATTTATAGTAATTCATAATCGTTTGTAAAATTCATTTCAAAGTTTGAAATAAAAGTATTAAGTTCTCAATAATTTTCAATTAAAATTTTAAAATTATAATAACTATATACTTTTAGATAGTATCTTAACTAATAAAGTTGGGTTTTTATCTCTCCTTAGGGGAAAAAATGACACATGGCAATCTTGAAGTGGGCCTGCCGTGGCTTTTTGAGGTTATGTTTATCCTTCCAGATTTGAAGCCCATTAGTATCTTCCAGATTTGAGGTCCGTTAATATCTTCTGAACATCCATAGCGTAGACCTGAGGCCCGTTATTATCTTACGAACATCATTAGTACCTTCTGTACATATTTGTTCTTAAAGATGAATCTGAGATTTGAATTTTTCCCTGGGTACAGTTATTTATTAGTGTCTTAGTGTTGTGTTTCATAGGACGGTAGAAAAGTCCCTGAGGGAGTTCATCCCGAACGTGTGCCTCAAGAAACTGATGGTCAGGTTGGTAACCCTGGTGATAGTGCAAATAATCCAACAACGTTCGCTGCTACAAGTGATAACCGTCCACAACATGCTAGAGTCGAATCTGATGTTGATGAAAATGCAAGGAAGAAGGCCCATGTGGAATGAGGCCAGCCCCACAGCATGAACATCCACATCTGCTTCCTTTCCGAATAATGCTCTGCTTATATTCCCTTTTTCGTTTTTTATCTATCTGATTTCAAACTTTATGGTTATTGTTTTTTTTTTCAAAACTATTGGTCTTTGTTATTGGAGAGATGTTCGGTTTATCTGTATAACGTTTATTAGACCTGATTTTCATAATTTGTTGCTTCAGTTTCACCAGGCACTAACATTTGACATGTATACGAAACAAGTGAACGTGAATACATAAAAGACTAAAGTAATAGTTTCTAATAGTATATACTAAGTTTATGTTTAGCTGATATAAGAGTCAACTAAAGCATCTGAATATTTTTGATTTAATGAATTCTTCATGTATTTTTATTTGAACTTTCTGTTATTGACACGAGGTTTTGAAATATTCTGGAGCACTTTACTTTTTGGTTATGATTATTAAAATTGATAAAAACTATATAGTAAACACAGCTTGATCTAACCTCATAAATGTGCCTTCATTCGTTGACAAACTTATGGCACAAGTTAAGACAAATGATGTTTATGCTTTGGAATTTAAAGTTCACGTACATAGTTTCTGTAGAGCTACCAGTTACAAGTAACAGAAGATTTATGCATAGAAAGCAAATGCTCCAGCCCAGTGCGATCAACATGAAACACTGCTTCCACGACATTAGCTTGCTTTGGTTTTAATAGGCGACTCCTCAGAAACTCAGCTTCTCAACTATAACACTTGCACCAGACTCGAACTCATCCATTCTCGAACTCAGTCTCTCTGAATTTCTCACAAGAACCGAACGGAACTCAAAAGTACTCTCTTTAGCTAATTAGGGTTCATCAGTCTTTGTTAGAAGGGTTCATCGCTCTAAGCTATGTCGAATTTGGGTTTTTTTTACGTCATTGGATTGTAATGCACACCGTTCTTAACTTCCCACCAAAATACGTGCCGTTTCCATGTTCAAAAAACGATGGCATCGGCTGCCTAGACAACAAACAAGACGACGAAATGTTAAAACCACACCGATAAAAAATATTTTTTTTAAAAAACGGACCATCACGAATATCTAGACATCGGATTTATCCTTTTATATAATAATGAAAGACTAAAGCAGCTTCGTAACTTATTGCTTATGAAAAATATGCCTAAAGAACATTAGGTTATGAAATAACGTAATGCTATGTCACCATTAAACACATAACAACGAACAAATATTGTGGGAATATGCTAGAAAATAAACAATTAGCCACGAATCTTAAATACAATTATGCAGATTTACATTCAGTTAGAAGCATATATTGACAGGAAACTTATCTCTAAAAAACACATAGATACTTACGTTAAAATAAGATTTAAGAATAGAAATGTGGATAAGATTTAACAATAGAAATCTGGATTAGATTTAACAACAGAAATCCGGCGCAAAAACATACTCCAACGTGCGTCGACACGTGCTCCATGAGCCTAGATTTACTTTGTCGACAGCTTTCTCGTATTCCTAATTTCTATGTTCAGTTCTCCTGATAAACATATATGCTCTTTCCAGTACAGTTTTATTGTAAGTTATTTAAAATTTCTTTATTTTAACGTATTGGAGTAATATAGATTTTAAAAACATAAGAGAATATTATATTCGGTGGAAATAAGCATTATATTCCTAATGATATTTTAGCAGAAATGCGTAGAATATAAGTCCTTTACTTGGCCTCCAATTCTTTTTTTTTCATATACCACTATTATTAGAGTTTCACACGCACATCTGTGCGGCTACATTTTTCATTTTATAAATATAGTATTATTTTTTTAAATATATGCTTTATATTTTAGTTTTAATTAAAATTAATTTATAATTATATCTAATTATAAAATAAAGAAATACTTATTTTATAAAAAATATTTAAATTTTTTGATAAAATCTTGTTAGATTTGTTCAACAGATTTTATTATATTTAAATTAATTTATTATTAATATCTTTATTAATTATTAAGATATTTTTAAAATAATATATATTTGAATGATTGGTTAATGTAACAATCTAATATGTGATATTAAATAATTAATGACATGGTCTAACATGATTTTTAAATAGTAAATAAATTTGATATTTCTCTTTTAATAGAGAAGATATTTCTCCATTGAAAAGAAAAACAGAGGAAATTAATATATGTGGCCAAGAATAGTGTGGGTGAGATGTTTTTTCTTATCATAGTACATATGGAATTGTTTGAAAGAGAATATAGTTTGAAAATGTACCATATCTAGAGATGGTGAGATTTTCTTTCTCAAAATACTATTTAATTTAGAGTAAATTGGCTTAAAACCCCTTAAAATGATGAAATTAGCAAAATACACATGATAGGACAAGTTTGCTCTCTAGCAATGCATGTACCAATGTGTGGGATTTGAGGCGTTCATTTAATTATAGAGAAATCTGTATGTACAAATTATGCAAATTCTCTTTAATTTGTAAAACTGATTATTATTTTATTACAGAAACTGAATATGGAGACGCGTACGACATATATGTTATATTTTTATTTTAATGTTAATTACCAAGCAAATTAATTTCCTTTGACCGGATGAAAACAAAGTAAAGCATTGAAACTTTTTAAAACATTTATACAGAACACTCCAAAACAAAAATTAGAAACAGTTTCAGTTTCTTAATTTTAATACGTTAACCAGTATGGAAAAAAAATATACAAAAAACTTATCCAAAATATGTTTTTGGACTCTCTCTAACGTCATGTCGAAAATAGTATTTAAATTAGTGAACTAATTAATACTGTTTAAACACTTTTAATCCAAAAGAACAAAGAGGAAAAACTTTAAAGAGAGAAAGTTGAATTTGAGCTCGAAAAAAGCTCATAAGCTTCACTTCGATTCGCCGAGAGAGACGACAAAAACAAACACAACGAAACGGAAACATAAACTTTATAAAATTTATTTCTTTCTTCTTTGGTCAATCTGTAAGTACATTCCTTGTTCTTATTATATATATCATTTCATTCTCTTATCTCCTCTTCCTTCTTTCTAAAGGTTCTCTCTCTTCTTATCCTCTGAGGAATCATCATACTCAAATCGAGGTCAGCCATTCTTAATGTTTTTTTTTTTAATTTTCTGGGTGAATTGGGTTTCAAATTTGGAGATCTGACTTCTCTGTTTCTCTGTGTTAGAAGATTATCCCAAAGAGAAGATGGTGGACGATCGGACGTATCTGTCATCACAAGAAGATTCCTCTGAATCTAAGCTCAAAAATGGCAAAAGCACTTTGGATGATGATGCTGCTGATGACGAGGAGCTCAGACAAAGCAAATCTCTCAAACTCACGAGATTGTCAATTCAAGAAAACGATTCAGACCAACAACAAGAAAACGGCGATGGTTATTCACTAATCAACGCCATCGGCAGGGACCTCTCAATAAGCTGTCTGCTCCGTTTCTCTCTGTCCGATTACCGTTTAGTCGCTTCCCTAAACAAGAGTTTCCGGTCTCTGGTTAAGTCCGGAGACATTTACGGACTCAGGAGACAGAACATGATCGTTGAGCATTGGTTTTACTTCTCTTACCAGCTCTTGAAATGGGTTGCTTTCGACCCTGTCGAAGTAAGATGGATGAACTTTCCGAACATTCCTTCAGATGATCGTACCTTCAAGAGTGCGGACAAAGAATCTCTCGCTGTCGGAACAGATTTGCTTGTCTTAGGCAAAGGTCATGATTCCTCTGACGTTGTGTATAGGTACAGTCTATTGACTAACTCTTGGTCTCTTGGTAAGAGGATGAACTCTCCGAGGTGTTTGTTTGGCTCGGCTAGCTCAGGAGAGATTGCTATCTTCGCCGGTGGTTGTGATCCTGCAGGGAATATCAGTGACGTTGCGGAGATGTATAACTCTGAGAGTCAGACGTGGACTACACTTCCTAAGATGAACAAGCCTAGGAAGTTGAGTTCCGGTGTCTTCACAGACGGAAAGTTCTATGTGATTGGAGGAATCGGTGGGAGTGAATCCAAACTCCTTACATGCGGCGAGGAGTTTGATTTGAAGACCAAGAAATGGACTGAGATTCCGGAGATGTCGCCTCCAAGGAGCATGGCATCAGGAGCGCCGCCTCTTGTTGCTGTTGTGAACAATGAGCTGTATGCTGCGGATCATGCTGGTATGGTGGTGAGAAAGTATGATAAAGAGAGTAAGAAATGGTTTACGTTAGGGAGGTTGCCTGAGAGAGCTGATTCGGTTAATGGTTGGGGTTTAGCGTTTAGAGCTTGCGGCGAGAGGTTGATTGTGATTGGTGGACCTAATAATTCAGGTGGAGGTTTTATTGAGTTGAATTCTTGGATACCAAGTAATGATAGAAGCCCTCCTGTGTGGACACTACTGGGTAGGAAACATTCAGCAAATTTTGTTTTCAATTGTGCGGTGATGGGTTGCTGACAAATTTTTCAATATGGAATCAAGATTCTTGGCTGCTTAGGGAGGCTGAAAGTTGCAGTCTTTTGTTATTCATTTTGGCTATAAAATATTTAATTTAAATACAATACTCTTTGGTGGTAAACAGTTTTTTATAATAACGTGGTGGAGAAAGTTCAGAATCTAAAGTCTTTCAGTTTTGAATTTCTTGAAATATCTTTATATACCATTCATATTTTTTTGTGAAAGAAAGTGTAATCTGTAGTTTTACTTGCAAGTAATACCCTAAACCCATTCAAAAAGATTTACTTTATATTTATTTTTTGTTTTGTTGTTGGTTTTTTCTTCAAAAAATAGTGTTGCTCAGTTTAAATTTGATTTTGACATGCGACTTCTGTCTATCTCTATTGGATCACTCAATCTAATCTAATTAGTGATATATTAGATCATCTAACACTATTAAAAGGGCTTGATAAAACTTTGTGAGGCTATCCACGTAGGATTATTTAATCCACCAATGGGATTGCACTATTTCAGCATAATGTTTTGTGCTATTGGGCTCTCAATATTCTGAACATTGGCACAACTTAACCCAAGATATTGAAACCGTAGACTAATTGACGACTACAGTTTTCTTTCATCTTCTCCGTTTCATTTCTTTTCATCTAACTCTCTGTATATCAATCGACACATCTCCCCATATCTGAAGCAATCAACTTTGTTTTCTTTCTCGAAGCATGATTCCAATCCAAATAAGAAAAACTCTCTCAAATACGTTTCGCAATTAGCAAATCCACCGGCTCTACCGACTCGATTTCGAAAAAACCAAACGGCAAGGACGTCGTCTCTTCCTCCGTTCCGATGAAGCCTTGCGCTAAAACCGCAGTCTCCTCCGACAGAGGTGAAGAAGTGACAACCGGTGTCTCCACCGTCTCCAGGGATTCGATTCCGAGAAGGTGAGAGTTCTTTATAGTAATAATGATAATCATTTTACTTATAGTGTATATAGTTATGATGAAAATTTCTATAAGTAGTTATTTTGAAGTAAAGAGTACTGATCAAATCTATTCTTAATACTGGAGGTGATGGAAAAGAAGAACGGTGAATATTTAAACAAGCGCCAGATTTATTTAGCTTTTGCTAAGGAAGCTCCTAAGCGTTCACAAGCCAAGTAAATTGTTTTAAAGATATGTTTATGTAATCTACTGCTAGAGCTTTGGTGCCATTACAGAAACTAATGCTATTATTTTTGTTAATTAGGTATTGCATAGACCACAAGGCTTGGTAAGTTATTTAACTATTTAGATTTTGAGTTGAGGTTTTTTGGTATATTTGGAGAGATCACAGGGTTTTTTTTATATTCCAGGTACGAAGACTATACTCAGCGAAAAGATGCAGCAGTGGAAGGACTTGATGAAACTCCAGATTTTGTTGAGGTATTGTTTTTTATTAATTGAACTAGGATTAGATCCGCGCCTTGCGCGGGATGAAATGATTAAATTTGTTGTATTTTTGAAGATAAGAAGACATTATATATGTTTTATTTGCATATTAGTTTGTTTTGGATTGGTGTTTTCAGGTTTTAATATCGTCCAATTATATATCTATATTATAAATATTGTCTTTTTGGTTAAATTGCGATTTTGTCTCATATATATGTTTTTTTTTGTCATCCACGCGACATGGAAACACGTAAGATGAAAGTATATTACTGTCAACACCATTAAGAGTATTGAGACAATCCCAAGTCTCCTTTTAGTCTCGAGATGGGTTGCGAAAAGGCTCATTTCGAGAAGCAAATTCTCAACTTGTATAACGAAATCTCCAATCTCAAGAGCCCTTAAACCTTTCACATATATATGTCGACAATTTGTTCAATAGCTCATGTCCACGTCCTTTCCTATGGATACAAAAATCGACGTTAAAAACTTGTGTCCAAAAGTCCAAAACTACAGAACCAATCTCACCAACCTACGTAGTGAAGATATAGAGTTTTCAGAGCACCACTACTATACGGCCTTGGGATCTCTCAAAGACAACACACTTCACCATGTAGATCTACCCTCAATACACTAACTACCTCAAACTTAGCAAGGTTGAGTTCAATCTCTTCACGTTACACACGAGACATGTCCAAACCAAGATCGCGTTCATGGGCTCCGGTACGTTGCCCTTCATATCCATCATCTTAGATACGTCCCACCTCCCAAATAATGACGTTCCAGAACTTTGACATCGATCCTCAAGCCAATTCACTTTCCTCCGAACTTGTCTCACGCGATATTGAACTTTGTAGTTTTAAAGTATCTCGTGTGTTTTATAATTGAAGTAAATAAGGTAATATATTGTGAGAAGGTAGTAAATAAGGTAATAAATTGTGAGAATGTAGTAAATAAGGTAATAAATTGTGAGAAGGTGGTGTGAAAACATTTAATGCAAAATGCTTCTCTTTTAGTATATAAGGGATTTCTTTTGTCCTTAAGAGTCGTACTATTAACACACTTGGCTGTTAAAATTGAGGAAGTTTCCTCGAGGAGGAAAATTGTCTTTACCGATTTATCCAAGAAAAAAAAACTGATTGTTAACATACCAAATATGTAAATAGTACCTTTGAATACCTCTTTTTTTTATTTGGAGCAAGTTTTATCATTTTTTTCCATAATTTACACCATTAGCTTCTTTGAAGATGCTGGAGAAGTTTCTAATATTCGAGTTATTGTAGACCGCTGGGGCATAAATGTTGGCTGTTTCTGTGTTGAGTTAGCTTATGGTACCGAAGCAAAGGAGATGAGACTCATTTTATAGTAATGATAAAAAAAAACATACAAAATAGTTTTCTGAAAATAAGCAAATCTCTTATATTGTAGGTTATACAAATTAAGACGAAAGGTGATCCGATTTATGTCAGGAGGCCTGAGATAGCTCCATACCCTTTCCCACCTTCTGACCCAAGTAAGTTGAGTTTTGTTTCTCTTTAACTTAGAAAAACTCTCCAAACATAAGGTAACTACTTTTATGTTTCTTTTTCTTTTCTTGACTAAGACAGAACCAAAGAAAGTTTCAGATTTTATGATTCTCCTTGCCACGGATCAGGATTTGTACGTCTATTTATGTGTTAGTGGAAACTTTGAGTTCTATGTTTCTTGATTGTACAGAAAAACAATGCTGGTTAGGTCGAAATACTATTCTCATGGGTTTTCCTAAAATGCTTACCAAACTTCATGACAGGAAAAGTAGATTTCTTGTGAACGATGAACTGAAGATTTTTGTGGAGTTCGATGTTCTTAAAGTTATTGGAAAGTTAGATGTATCAGAGGAATCTCCAGAGTTAACACAACCTTTGAAAAGGACAAAGCTAAGTGATGGTCCCGTGTCTATTCATTTGAACAAGGAAACTTCATCAGTAATGTTTTTCAAGTTCTTCCTTCACAGGTAAGATGTTAATCAAGATTGAAACTTTCTTTTTTTGTTGTTGTTGTTGATTTTGAGACAAGAAGTGGTTTTTTTTTTCTGTTCTGAATTTTCAGTGAGATACATCTTATGACAGTGTAAAATAAGATCTTAAAATTCTACCGTTCTGTTTATGGATATATGTAAACATTTGGCTTGTTCATCATTTTTTAACTGCAGGTGCAATCTGTGAAACGTTTATTTGAAAGACACCCAGACATGGCATTAGAGTTTCGAGCAAAGAGGCAACATCTGAAGACATCATGCATGAATGTCCTCCTCAACCCAATCGAGACTCTGTGCCAGTCACTGCAAGACCTCTCCTTTGATGATCTGTGCCAAGCAGAAAAAGCATTGACATACCTAAAATGTTCAGGCTTCAAGGTGGATTGGTTGGAGCTTAAACTGGAGGAATTAGAGGAAATGAAGAACAACGAGGAAGAGCTAAAGGTTTTAAAGGAGAAGTGCTCAGACATTGAAGCTCTGCTGGAGAAAAAGAAGGAAGAGCTGAAGGACTTAAAGTAGAAGTGCTCAGATATAGAAAACGAAAAGGCAAAGGTGTTGCAGCCACAGCTTTTGCTCAAATGTTGTTTGATTGATGCCTTCGGTTTGGCACTTTTGGCTAGGTATTTTATGTTATTGTACTGTATGTTCGTTTGGGTCTAGGTTTCAACACTAGAGTCTTTAGCTTAGAAGCTGGAGAGACCTTCTAAGCTAATTGTTTTGGTTAAGAGGACTCGGTAGGATTTTGTAAAGTACGCAGCATTATGAGAAAGAGCATTATCATTTAGACATCTCCTGCAAGACTTATTAAGGAGTGTAGCTATTAATGGTATTTTTTGGTGTCCGCCTAAAATCTGCAAAACCTATATATACTGTTAAAAAAGGATCATTTGCTAGACTAAAAATTGAGTAGGTGCAACCAAATAATATTTAAATAAATCTACTATACTTCACTCACCATTTTTACATAAGATCGTGACTATACATATCAAATGTTCCAAATGGTTCTTTTCCTTAAAGTAACCTCTTTCAATTTACTTACATGTGATATAAACGATATAAAAAATTTCAATACGTGGGGGTCATGTTCATTTTATATATCCTCCTCCATTAAATCAAATATTTGCTTACATGATCCACTTTTGAAATATAAATGGCCATGTCCTATTAAACATTATTGGCTGAACCTTCAATATTCAGTACAAGAAATTGATAAAACGATATCAAATGAATTTTAGTGTAGTCATGATATTGATTAGGTTGCCTTTTAAAAAGGCAGAACATCAACCTATTTACAGATACATCAAGTCGTTTAAGCAATGCCATGAATACATAGAAATTCATCTATACTATAAAAGAAAACAAATCTAAAAATATATTATTAAAAAAATCATTAGACCTATATATAACTATTTTTATTTTTTTATCCTATCATTAATTATTTTAACTATACATTATTTAAATTATTTTAAATGAATTATATTATTACTCTTTATTTAATGTGATATATTTTTTAACTAATTTATTTTATCACCCAACGTTGTGGTAATTAAACAATAATATTATACCCT